GAAGCCAATGTAAGGATTGACAGAGGGGCGAGGTGAGAGAGGAGCGATAGGAGAGAGAAACAGGAGGATTAAATCATACTATGAAGAGGAAAAACAAGAAGCTCAGTTTTAGAGAGATTGCTTTTCAGAAAGCGGGAGGACATCCAATCAGAGATTGAAAAAAGGCAACCAGAGACGTGTTGTAGGAGAGTGGGGGGAGAGATATAACTGGGTATCATTGACATACAGGTGGTAATGGAATCCAAATTAATTAGTGTGCCAAGAAAGGCAGTACAAAGAGAAAACAAAAGGGGACCAAGAACGGACCCCTGGGAGACTCAAACAATGACAGGATGAGGGGAAGAGGTGTTATTAGAAAAGGAGACATTGAATAAATCTTGAGAGAGATCAGACAGGAACCGCAAGAGTGTTACAGAGACTGACAGATTAAAGAGTTTGAAGAAGGAGGACATGATCAACAGTGTAAAAGCCAGCAGAGAGCTTTAGAAGAATTATTATGAAGTAGTAGCTTTGGGATTTAATAATGATTAGATCATTAGTTACTTCAGTTAGAGTGGTCTCAGTAGAATGGAGGTGGCTGAAGCCAGATTGAAGAAGGTCAAGGAGAGAGATGAAATTGAGAAAGCTTGCCAGATGGGTAAAGTCATTACAGAAGCTTTGAGGATAAAGGGGGTAGAGATATAGGACAGTAGTTAGAAGAGAAAAGCTGTTCAAGAGATAGCATTTTGAGGATGAGTACGACAGCAACATGTTTACAGGGAGTGGGGACAATGCCAGAGTTATACGAGCAGTTAGAGATATGCGTTAAGAATGGCACAAATCAGGGGGAGAGAGATATGATAATGTAAGATGGAATGGGATCAAGCAGAAAAGTGGTTGGGTGAGAGGAAAGGAGAAGCACAGTCACCTCCTGCTGATTGAGGAGGAGTGAGGAGGCCTGAAGTGTAGGAAAGTGAAGGGGGTGAATTATTTCTTGTAAGTAAAACAGCATGCAAAGCTATCAGTTGAAATGCTAGTTTGGGGTGGTCACAGCAGGGTGAAGAAGAGAGTTGAAATTATCAAAGAGACGTCTAGATGTGTAGGAGTATGAACAAATTAGAGAGGAAAAGTATGAATTTTAGCAAGGGCAGGGAATGCACTTTATGAGTGCAAGATGAATTTATAATGGATAAAGCCTTACAAGGTGTGAGACTTCCTCCAGCAGTGTTCAGCTGAATGGGAGCATGTATGCAGGTAGCATGTTGAGGTTTGCCATGGTTGGAGGTGCGTCCTTTTTGAGATGTATGTTTGGGGTGTAGTTGCAGAGTCCAGGGGAGAGGTGAGGATAGCATTATATGAGGTGATAGCCAGAGAGGGACAAGAGAAGGTAGGAATGGATGAGAGATGAAAACCGACATTAACAAACAGTTACTGGAGATCAAAATAATTCAGGTTTCTCCAGAGTCGAGGTGGGTTAGACTGAGAATGTTGGGTGAGGGTGCTCTCAAAAACAAAAGATAAGAGGAGGTGTTTGAATATATTTGAAGCATGGTCGTGTCACCAGTGGGTACCTCAGGGATCTGTACTTGGACCCATTCTCTTTTATATTTTAATTAGTGATATTGCAGAAGTTCTTGATGGTCTTGATGGTATGGTATGTCTTTTTGCTGAGGATACTAAGATATGTAACAGGGTTGATGTTCCAGGAGGGATAAGCCAAATGATGACTAGAAAAATGGTCAGAGTTGTGGCAGCTGACATTTAAAGTAGATACGTGCAAGATAATGCATCATGGACTTAAAAACCCAAGGGAAGAGTATAGAATATTTGATAGAGTCCTAACTTCAACATCAGGAAAGGGATTTAGGGGTAATTATTTCAGATGACTTAAAGGTAGGCAGACAATGTAATAGAGCAGCAGGAAATGCTAGTAGAATGCTTGGTTGTATAGGGAGAGGTATTAGCAGTGGAAAGAGGGAAGTGTTCATGCCATTATACAGAACACTGGTGAGACCTCACTTGGAGTATTGTACGCAGTACTGGAGACCGTATCTCCAGAAGGATATTGATACTTTAGAGATAGTTCAGAGAAGGGCTACTAAACTGGTTCATGAATTGCAGGATAAAACTTACAAGGAAAGTTTAAAAGATCTTAACACGTAAAACTTGGAAGAAAGATGAGACAGGAGGGATATGATAGAAACATTTAAATATGTAAAGGGAATCAACACAGTAAAGGAGGAGACTATATTTAAAAGAAGAAACACTACCACAACAAGAGGACATAGTCTTAAATTAGAGGGTCAAAGGTTTAAAAATAATATCAGGAAGCATTACTTTACTGAGAGGGTAGTGGATGCATGGAATATCCTTCCAGCTGAATTTGTAGAGGTTAACACAGTGAAGGAGTTTAAGCATGCGTGGGATAGGCTTAAGGCTATCCTAGCTATAAGATAAGGCCATGGACTAATGAAAGTATTTTGAAAATTGGGCAGACTAGATGGGCCGAATGGTTCTTATCTGCCGTTACATTCTATGTTTCTATGTTTCTATGGTGATCTGAGAGAGGAAATGTAGTGTTACATAGATTAGAGACTGTGCATGCATCTGACAAAATAAGATTGAGAGTATTACCATCTACATGTGTGCGAGAATTAGCCCACTGGGATAGGCCAAGGGAGGCTACTGAGGTCAACGGTGGGCTATTTGTAATGTTGAAGTCCCCAAAAATTAAAGATTACTTGAAAGGAAGTAGAGAAGCTAGGCAACAAATTGGTCAAGGAGGAGAAGGGAAACTGTAAATGTTTGCACAGATAGGTTTGAACAGGTGATTTAAGTGAGCTTCAAATAAGAAGAAAGAGAGAGAAGGTAGGGGGGTGTAGAGATTTGAAGGATATTTTTATTTTTTTAGTACTGAAGGGCAAATTGAAAACTTTTAAATCAATGTAAATGTGCAATAAAACATCAGGTTCTGTGGCCATCACAAGCAATAAAAGGCTATACTTGTATTTGAGATGTGTACCTTGGATTCATTATTGTTTTGGATTCATTATTATTTGCTCATATTATTGTTTCAGTGTATTTGCAAAAGCCTGGGAAGTTATAAACTGAATCTCGTTTTAGATATCGAGTAACCTCATGATTAATATAGGAACACTGGTATAAATTTTAGGAGAAATGACAAACTGACCCAAAACATTCCAGCAATCATAGCCAGTAAGCTAGCCTGGCCATGATATCTGGAATGACCAATGAAAGTCTCAAAGACTCCAAGCACAATCTGACATGAGCAATGAACTTCTTAGAAGGTTGATTGTTTAAAGCAATATATGAATTGTTAAAAATAGATTTAAAAAAAACTATTGCATACAAAGACAAGATAACTAGATGCACACATTTTCATGCATTGTATAGTAAGCTTGGAGCTTATATGAGGTGTAGAGAAGTGTAAAAAAATACCACATTTTATGATAGTTTAAAGTATTCGCATGTTATATATTCACAAAATGTCTCTCAGACATTGTAGTAAAAAAGAACTTCTCTTTACTTCAGTACACACACATAATGACATAACACAAGAGAGACTAACACAACAGAACAAGTGCATAACTTCACTATGCTGCCATCTACTGGAAGGTGGACTGCATAAACCCCAATACATAACAATGATATTGGGAACTGGACTTTCAAGGATTTAGAGTAAAAATCAGAATGTAATCTGACAGACTGCTTAATATAGTTCTCTAGACCTGAGATACTAGTTTCAGCATTTTAGAGATTCCATGCAAGATATGTATCCACACTGGGCTTTATCCACTAAACAGCACATTACGCATAATTGAAAAAACTAATTGCAAAGTTTAGACTAAGCTAGCCAAGCTATGATTTAAGCAGAGGTGGAAAATTTCTCTCTCAAAATTAGCACTTTTTGCCTCAATTGTTCAATTCAGTTTTAAATTTACTACTATTCACTGTTTATTGAATCAGCCCCATTCAGCAGAAAATGCATTCTGACTACATATTTAATATAGTTCTGTGCAAGTTTTATTTACATATTTGAAGGAGAATAGAGTGCGGTCTGCAAGATATGGCATCACAAGCTCGCTAGGAAAAGAGGTAACCTGTGCTATAAAAAATAAAAAAAAATTGAATTTTAGAAATCAAACTGTCTCATAAAATTTGGAAAATGATAGAGCTTTTATATGATAAATGAATGGAGGAATTTAAAATAAAAATTGTGAATGGATATAAACTCAAAAGACACCTAAGGCACACTGCTTGTGAATAGCTGACTGTGAATAAAGGCTTGCTCACATCTCTTAGTGCTAACAAGATTCATTGTGTTAAAGGTTTTTGACACATGCATGATAATATATTCTTCTTTTCTTCTAGATCTGTGACAAAGAATGGCACTACTATGTAATTAACATAGACTTCCCTCTGGTAACATTATACATGGACGGAACAACATACGAGCCATATTTAGTGACCAATGACTGGCCCATTCACCCTTCACATATTGCGATGCAGCTGACTGTGGGGGCTTGTTGGCAAGGTAACTTTATTTATTGCTATATGTGGTTTGTTATGCACTGTTGTTTCAATTTATTCGGTATTCATATTGTACCCAACTATAACAAACATTTTATTTGTAGAAGCCAGATGATAACAAAGGATGAGAGCACTGATCAATCCTCACTCCCCCTACCCCCCCAGTCCTCTCAACAAATCATTGGGTTAGATGGTAGGTTCGGTAATGCTTTCTACAATAGAAGTAAACTACAATTCCGATAAACCTGTGCTGTTCAGGGATGTCTGGCATAGGCTTAAAGTTATGGCAACATTATGATTGGTTGAGTTACTTTCTGGACTGGACAGTGCTCACTGTTAATTTGTTTGCAAAAAAAAATCCCCAAGAGTGTAATGCACACCCAAAAAAGGGGGAATACTTCTTGCAAATGGAAAAAATAAATATCCAGGCACACCTAAAGTTTCTTCTAAAAGGAAGTCTTTTTTATTTGAAACAAGGAAGTGGAGACAACGTTTCGGCTCCTCTCTGATAAACTTGATAAAGGCTCAGAGAGGAGCTGAAACGTTGTCTCCACATCCTTGTTTCAAATAGAAAGGACTGCCTTTTAGAAGAAACCTCAGGTGTGCCTGGATGTTTCTTTTCTTTCAAGTGCTCACTGTAAAAACTGCCAATTGTGGGTATTTATATTTTTACTTTATGAATACATTTTCTACTTTTAAAACAATTTGGATTTAATATTATAATAAGATGAACCCATCAATTTTTGAATATAATGAAACTCACAATGTATGCATAATTTGTAGTTGGGAAAAGTAAGTTGCGCTATATTAGTGTTTTGATTCATTTTACCTCTCTCAAATGTTATTTATTACAAATTGCTATTTCCACATAGTGTGATATTAGGGGATTCTTTTCTCCAGCTGTCCTGTGCCTCACATGGTCCTAAGCAGATGAAAAATGTATGCAAACAAATGAATGCTTTCAATGTTGTGAATTATAGAATAACGCTAGCTTAATGTGTTAAATAATGCACGCCTAGCTGTTACTTATGAAACAAAGTTTAAAGAATTGTAATATGTCTGTAGAATTATGTTCTATCATCTGAGCTCTCCAATTTCAGTCTTTCCCTTGATAACACTTCATGATTTTGTATATGCTATAAAAGACTTGCCGAGATAACAACATTTGCTTCACCATCCAGATTATGGGTAAAAGCTTTTCAAAATATGTTTATAACGCTGTCCTCATAGCAGAATAAAAAAAAATAATAAAAAAATAGAGAGCTTATCAGATTCAATTCTTTGTTAGAAGGAACCTTACATTATACAGAGAGAGAAAACTTCAGAAGATCAGTAGTCTTATATTCCCTTGACTGATGGGAAATTTAAGGACACCGGTACCTGTAATAATTGTGTATTTAGTAAACTATGGCTATTGAATGTGTATCAGGAATCCTTTTTAACAGTTCTGTTTTATGTTTTATTCATGAACTGTTATTCTCAAACGGAATGATTGAAAACTGGCTATAGCTGAATATACCACTCAATATTAAATAATTTAGTATTATCATTTTTAATTAACAAAAATTATAGAACTGTGCAGGATGTATACTACGCAATAAAGAAATGGCTTGGGAGTGGAATATTAAAGCTAATGAACAAGCGCATAGAGAATGTCATAATTCCAAATTCAAATGGCTCATGCCACTGGTGCATCCAAACATATTTTAACACTAAGTTCCTATTCCTAGAAAAATAAAAAATTTACATAATTTAGAAAATCCAAATACAACTATAAAAAAATATGGTTTGTTATGCACTGTAGGCCGGTCTGCTCAGAGCAGGCTTACATCAGACATTTAACAGGATTATTTAGTAAAGTGAGAAGTCAAAGTAAATTGAAGTGAATTTCAAATTTAAGACCAGAGCAGCTGAAATGTAAAAAAATTTACCTTAAATTTGAAATTAATTTTAAATTCTCATTTAAATCAATTATAAATATCAATTTACAGTGAATAACCCTGTAAATTGGAATCCCTTTATTAAACACTTAAAAGAGCAAATCAAAAGGGTAGTGGGACATCAGGCTTAAACTCTTGTCACTGCCCTAACCACCATACTTGTCTGTAAGCTCAATTGCTCAGTATAACTTAATAACATTTAACATGTTATATAAATCACAAGTAAAGTTTCTCTACTTACCTCTGCTTCTGCCATGTCATTGAAGGATTGAAGGGCCTGTCAATCACCCCGAAGGATGCTTTGATCTTAGTGGTGCTTGGTCCCCAGTGGTACAGTTCGAGAGGCTAGAACAAGCGATTTCTGTATTAATGCTACTTTCATTGCTATCTCATTACTATTTGTGTACCTGAAGGCCATTGGAGGCATCCCTAGGCTGTAATGTTAACATTGCCTTTTCTCTGAAAGGCTGAAGGGACTAATTATATTTACCAGAACAAATACAACAAGCTGTAGTTGATCTGGTGACTATAGAGTCCCTTTAAGTTACAATGCATCATAACAGTTACCTTCACAGAACAATAAAACTGCTTTCTCTCCCCGCACCCTGATTCCTCTACTGCAACTGTCATCAAAACAAAACACTAAGCCCTCAGTGAATACTATCCTGGCAACTTACTTTTCTACCCTACCCTTACCTTTTGTGTCACTATACCCCACTCCCTGTAGCATGTAAGCTCATTGAGCAGGGCCCTCAATCCCTCTGTTACTCTGTGTCCAACTCGTCTGGTTACAAATACGTGTATGTTAGTCCACCCATTGTACAATGCTGCAGAACTTGTTGGCACTTTATAAATATTAATCATAATAATAATAATAATAATTTACTGTGCATTATGTGGACCACAATAGAAATCTTTATTTTGAAAATTGTGCACTGCTCAAATTGTGCAGGATTGAACGATATGTCTCAAGACACAATGCAGGTACAAAAATGTGATATGTAAATGTTGTATCATTTTTGTGCTGATGGGTGTTCCATGCAAAAAATACGGGCAAGGGGATCGTTCAAAATGTTAATATAAACTTCTGGAATCCAAAATGTAACAAGTTCAATAGCAAGGATAGTATGACAGAGATATATATCTCTTCTATCCATCACAACGTAGCACATACACTTCCCATAATAAGACACTAAATTATAACAAATTTAATTATGACAAATTTAGAGGCCCACTAGGTTGGAATTATATGATGCCAAGCCAAATTCTAGCACAATTTATCACTGCAAAATTGAAGAGTAGAGATGAGGTTTATGAAGTACGTGACAGCACTGAGATTATTCCTGTTAATAGATTCACATGTTGTAGAGTTTGGTAAATTAACATTATATTTCAGTTTCTAGACTATGCATTCTTGCAAAAGTTAAAATAAAACATTAATATTGCAGGGGTTTTGTTTAAAAAATTATACTGTTGGCAAGATTAATATATATATATATATATATATATATATATATATTTGTTGTTTGTTTTTTTAAATCAATCAAGCATCTTACAATGCTACTGTATTGTCAAATGTAAGAAGGAGAAGCAATGATAAATACATAGCATATCCTCAATTATCGAAGAACAGTTGAAACATTACTTTAATTATAAAAGTAAAACAAAGATTAGCAGAGTCCTCCTGAAAATACTAGAAAGTAAAAAAACATTGTTTTTTATTGAAACATTTTGAATAGTAACTTCACCAACATGGTCGTTACAATTTAAAGGGCTTTTTGCAGTCTTTCTTAATTAACAAATACTGCTCTATTGGGCATTATTCTTACACTATTCTTACACATTATGCTCCCCCATCCATGCTAAAAAAAGGCTTTAAGAATAGCTTACCTGAAATACAGAACTCGGCAAAGCTCCTGGCAAGGGTTTTCAATTGCCATCTGACGTCATATAGAAATCCTTTGATAGGGCCGTTTATCTGGCTCATATAACATATGAACGTTCTGAGCCATCAAGGGGATAGAGAGATGGTGGCAGTGGCGAAGGAGGGAGAATTAAAAAAAATAATGGAGGATAATTTTCAATGGAGGCAGAGGAGGCTTAATTTATTAAGGAGGCAGGGAGGAGATGCAAAGGGTTCTGTCTGCAAAGACAAGTTAATTATATCTGGTGTCAACGACGGATGTATTTTTTTGCACAGAATTGACATTTGGCATGTTGGTACAGAGTTCTGGGAACACAAGTGTAAATATCTCAGTATGTGCAGGCTTTTATAAGCAGGAATGCTGCACATGCAGACACTTTCCACCTTGACCACTTCTAAAAGCAGAAGTAGTCATGGTAAAAGGAGTAAACCTTTAAGTTTTTATAGGATGTTATGTTGACTTTGTGTAAATACAACTTTTCTGTTCTTTACATTCTCAGAAAGCTGCTGCAATAAATCATTCTGGGTGTGTCTCTCCTCTCTCCATGCTTGCTGTTGGTGATTATCTGTCACAGAGCCTGGCCCTTCCCTTACTTCCCCTTGGAGGCATTGCTTTCCCTTAGGCTGAGTTCAAGCAGTTGGTAAATCTAGAGGAGGATTTATCTGGTAACAAACATGCAGAGCCCAGCCTTTTTATCATTGTGCCAATTGGCACAGACTGAACTGACTGAGAGGATGGGGAAAGAACTGTTTTTTAACCTTTCATTTTAAAGAAATCTAGACGTTCGATGGAAATTCTGCTAGTACAATGTATAGATGATATTTGATTCTCTATCATTTCAGATTAAGTTGTATTGCAATGACAGATACCCTCTAAGATTTTTTTTTTGCCCAGATTTCCAAGGAAAAACATATACACAGATTGAGCAATGCACAGCCAGTAAGCTAATAAATGAATATGAAAATATCAGATCAAATGTACATGGCTTAAAATACATGATAATGTAAAAGTTAGCAAAGGTACAAAATAAAGGACCAACAGGGCCTGACAGTTGAGTCTTAAGCCTATAAAGTGGAAACGAATAATTCACAGCATTCTTTCAGGTCATCTCAGAGTCCTAGTAGAAGGTTGGAATGTGGAACAAACCAACTCTTTCTGTTTAGGTAGCAGCTCTGTCCATAATAGTTGAAGATAGGACAAGGCAGGCCTGGTGGCAATCTGGACGAGTCAGGAAATAGCAGAGAAATATCCAATTTGTGGGAAAAAACATGGAGCATTAGTAATATTAGTGGTATGCAGTAAGATTTCATTATGCAAAGCTGCTAGCATTAAGGGGAAGTCCTGCTTAATGTGATGGCTGATTAGGTGATCTGTGATCAGCTTCCATCTGCAGCCCTGGATCAGCAGAGATAATATAAGTAAATCTGATGACAGACAGAATTGATTGTATTAATTCCTTGATGTACTGGCTTTAAAATGCTTGCCTAACTCTGACCCGTAGTGCATATTGAGTGTTTTTGAGGCTTCTCTAGTTTGGGCCTGACTCACAGGGCTCTGTGAGCTTTATCCTGCACGAGCTAAAATTTGATCAAGTGGGGAACAAGTAGGATTACTAGGACATCTACTCTGGGACCTCATATAAAAAGGTTTTTTCTCCAGGACCAGTTGTAGAAACCTTAATGCATGGATAGAAGTTACTT